GCGCACGTTGCCACCTCATTTTGAGCTTCTCGTCAACCACCACCCCAAGCCCTTCTCTTCAGAGCTGCACTAAAGTCACTCATGGCCCAGCCTGTATTTGTGCCTGGGGTTGCCCTGACCCAGGTGCAGGACCTTGCATCTGGCCTTGTTGAACTCCATGAGGTTTGCACAGGCCCCACCTCTCCAGCCTGTCCAGGTCCCTCTAGATGACATCCTGTCCCTCCAGCATGTCAACCGCACCACTCAGCTTGGTGTCACCGGCAAACTTGCTGAGGATGCACTCAATGTGCACTCAATCCTGGGGGCCTGGAGCATCCATAGCAGGGATCAGGGTGCTGAGGGTCCTGTGTGGCAGCAGTGGGGTGTGCAGCTTTGACGTTGGAGCTCCCTGAGCCCCTCATGGTCTCTGGGGCAGCTGGTCCCATGCTGGGTGTGGGCTCCATGGTACCCACGATGGCCAAAGTCTGCGCTGGCTCCAGCCCTGCCACAGCGTGGCCACAGATTGTCCTCCCCTGCAGATCCACACCTTCTGGGTGGACGCGAAGAATTACGTGGAGCACACACGGAAATGGTACGCGGAGACCATTCCCTTCCCCCTGAACTTCTTCCTGCCCAACTGCATGCACAAGCAGCACGTGGAGCGGCTGCAGCTGATGTGGGGAGATGGGTACATGGAGGATGAGGAGAAGCTGGAGAAGGAGGTGAGAGGACATGGTCTGGGCACAGTGGGTCCTCAGTGAGTGCCCAGAGGGACTCACACGATGCCAAAATCTTAATTGGGGTCCAGTGTTCACCCCGGCTGAGCACCCCCTTCCCACTCCCCTTAGCACCGAGGCAGTCTGCTGCATGGCCGGGTGGGTGACAACCCTCTGTCCTCCTTCTCCAGCTCTACCGGGATGCTCGGGAATGTCTGACACTCCTGTCCCAGCGCCTCGGCTCCCAGAAGTTTTTCTTTGGAGACTCGTAGGTGGCCGTAGGGCGAAGGTGGGACTCAGGCGGGTGAAGTCTCAGGCAGGACTGAGACCCCTGGCTGTGGGGAACCCGCAGCCCACGTGCGGGACAGGATCATCCTGGTCCCCCCATCCTGGCAGCAGCAGACTGGGGGTGGTTGATGCGTTCGGGTGGCTTTGGGATGGGACAGTGGGAGGATGTGGGAGGGACAGTGACAGTCGCAGGTCTCTGTGCCCCAGGCCGGCCTCTCTTGATGCCTTGGTCTTCAGCCGCCTGGCGCCGCTCCTGAAGGCGAAGCTGCCCAACGGGAAACTGCAGCAGCACCTGAAGTCCCTGCAGAACCTGTGCAACTACTGCACCTCCATCCTCAGCCTCTACTTCCCCTGGGATGGAGGTGAGATGCATCCCCTTGCCTTTCCCCGTGGGCTTGGGGTGACCTGTTGCCCACCTCCACAGCCTTGCTTTTCCCCCCACCCAGGTGACCCCCCAGCCAGCGCCCCGCGGGCGGCAGGTGCTGAGGGCAGCGAGGCGGAGGAGGATCCCCACAAACGGCGCAACCAGCTGCTCTCGGTGCTGGTGGGGCTGGTGGCCATGCTGGGCTACGCCTTCCTAAAATCTCCTCCACCCAGCGGGGCGGTGCAGGGCCGGCTGGCCGCCAGCCCATCGCCCTGGAGGAGGAGGAAGAGGAGGAGGAGGAGTGAGGAAGAGCTGTGCCATCGTCACTCCTCTGATCCTTGGAACTGACTGTTTTTACACCGGGAGCCTGGCAGCATCGCTCCCTGCGGACGCTCCGCTCTGTGTCCCGGGGGGAATCGC